ATAAGCGTGACATAATTAACGCGGACATTATTGTTACTCAACATTCTGGAACACGTTCTTCCATTAACTGGAATAGCGAACAAGACCATATTCATCCTTAAGAAGGAGGTGATAGATTTATTGGTCACTTCAAGTGTAACAGATGCATCGATTGTTTTGGTCTTCATATAAATAGTGGGCTTCGGCACCACGTCTTGGTCTTTCGACATCCGTCCGTCAGTCAGAGTCTGCCTGGTTGTGTCTATCGCATAGCGTTGGGGACAGTCAGTGCATCTTAGGTTGGATTCAAGAGCATCAGATTCTATTTCCGTTTACTTTACATTTAGTGTTTAACTGATAAGTAGTGTAACTAGTAGTATATTTGGTTAATATAATACATCAGGTAGAAATTGTCTACTTATTATATTAAATATCCGAATCAACTGCGAGCATACTACAAATCAGCAAGACCGAATTCCTCGAAGAACGAGATCCATAACAGTACCTGCACGAATAAAAGAAGAAGAAAAAAAAATTTTTTTTTTTATAATAATAAAAATGTAAACATGTTCCTATTTTTATGAAAAAAAAAAAATAAAATAATGTAAATGATCTTTTATGCGAGGGCGTTTCTCTCTCTCTCTTCTTCTTCTTTTTCGTGAAATGATGGAAAAATTCTATTTCGGTTTTTTTTCAACCCTCTAAAACCCGCCTGGTTGTTTATTACTGTAAAAGGCGAACGGGGGGAGAGAGAGGGAGGGAAAAAAAAAGATTTTCGGGATTAAACGATTTTAGGTTCCCTTGGTTCTCCCCCATTTTTTTTTTGTTCTCTCCCTGAAAAAAAAATAAAAATAATCTTTCGGATTCAAAGGGAATGAACTCAAAAATGTGTTTATCAAAAATTTTCTACGTTCGATGATGGCACATGGAGGGGAGTCTTTAAACACGGTTTTCAGGTTCCCATAAAAATGTTTTGATATTTGAAATTTCGTGGGCGATACAAAGTTTTCGAATTGAATTGATGAAATTACGTAACTTCTGTTTAAAAAAAAATTTTTTTTTATGCGCGGAAAAAGGACAGTTTTTTTTTACAACAAAAACAATGGAAAGATGAAAAGATTTGGTTGTTGTTGTTGTTGTTTGCGTTACGTTCTACGATAAGAAACATTAGTAACGAAATGATTTTTAATTCATTAAACAAACAAACAAAAATTGTTGTTTTAAAGTGGAAGAAA